CAGGTAACAGCTTCGATCCTCCAGCTTATCCGGTTCGTACGTGAGGGAGCGCTGATCGAGGGGCGAGGCAGCAGTAGCCGCTGGCAGAACCGCAACATTCGTGTCCACAGCCCCAGTGGTGAGGTTGCGCACATTCATCTTCAAGGTGCGCCAGGCAGAGTAGAGGTTGGTAAACAGTCTACTGGAGAATCGTAGACCGTTAGCAAAGTTGGCCTTCGCATTGCCGGTGTGGTGGTCATGTGGAAGGAAGACGCCGTGCTCACGCGAAAAGGTGAACCAGAGAGTGGAGAACCAATAGCGCCCTGAGACACAAATGGGATAAGAAAATCTAATGAATTTAAGAAATAACAAATTCTAACTGGCGGAGTGTGGGGGGGGCTGTTGGTTAATTTAAATGTGCTGTGAAGGCGAACAAGGCGAAGAGTTAATTACGCCAAAATGTGCCCCTCTCGGGGAATAAGAACACCCCCTCGTAATACCGGTGGCATTGCACAGAGCAGAGTACGTTTTTCCATGTTCCCGGCCTAGCAATAACCCAAACGGTAACACTAATCTTGGCACTATCCATAATTTCTCTAGAATTTAGCAAAAAGCCATCCGTACGTTCCTATTTCGGTGTTCTGTTAGATCACACAAACTAGCTCTACCGATAGATGTACTCCAGAGCAGTACCCCAAAATTGTGGGCCTGCGAAAGACCGCTCATCAAAGGAGCAAGCATAAAGGGCATACACAGAGTTATAAACTAATGGTCACTATTCGATTGGGCACATTTTTATGCACAAATGACAACACGTCAGTCTCAAGAATGCTTCTTCTGAAACCCGGACGCAAGGGGTGGGGGCAGTTTTATTGGACACTAAAGTGCGCGAGTAAGCTTGGGAAGACTGAACCAAACTCGCATTTTAAAGGGGCTACTGATCAGCAGATTGGGCAACCACAACGGTGCTGACAGAGCTTTCGAAATCAGAATGAATTAGCCAAAAACAGCCAGTTTGGAGGATAGTTTACTGCTTCGGACAGCCTACAAGAATACCCTTCAAAATACTGTATACCATATGACCCAATGGATTTTCCGTTGTAGAACACACGTTGCACGACACAACTCGTGTTCGTGGAATTCTTCGACAGGAACTGCACAAAATTCCATTTATTCCCTCCAAATTGTCGATTGTATTGCGACGATCAAACGCAATGGCACCGTACACATTTTGAATATGTTAGTCTGTTCTACAAGTTGAACGGCGACACAAACAGGCTTTATCTTCAAGTGACATTTGGCTGTTTCTGAACCAGGCAAATCACTCGTAAAACTCTTCACAGGTTTAGAGTTCCCTTCCCTCAAACTGTCCCACGCATTGAGACGTATGTCCGCTGCTGTTTTTCTTAACAGGAAACAGAGTATGATGTCGGTGAGTCGCTCCCTGAAGTTTGTCATTGAGGAATCGCCGAAAGCATTTGGGGGGG